ATGATTCCCCGTTTGCAGCCTTCCAAAGAGCAAAGTCAGTTGGCTTTGGGAGCCAGTATTAACTAACTAAACAGCTATAACTTTCGGTCACTAAATGAACTGTTTGTAAGTCAAGGACCACCTCAGCTTCCAAGTGGTTCATTGAGCGACTGTTTGACGTTTCAGTGGCCCTGAAAAGGGGGCAACACATAATCCTCGTGCTTATACACTGGTACACCACAGAGTTGTGTCTGGAGTCCCTTACTCTATACTCTTTACGTGCATGACTGCATTTCCACTCATGCTAGTAATACTAGTGCTAAATTTGTAGATGATGCAATAGTGGTGGGACTCGTCTCCAGGGGGCAGGATGAGTCTGCCTACTGAGACGAGGTGGACCAATGGTTGCTCTCGTGGTGTGGAGACAATAACTTGGTCTTCAACACCAATAAGACCAAGGAGCTGATAGTGGACTATATAGAAGGAACAGATCAGACGTCCAGCCCTTGATTCTCAAGGGAGACTGAGTGGACTCAAGTGGGCAGTTTTAAGTTTCTGGGTGTTACCCTAAAAGAGGACCTGACCTGGGGCCCTCACATTGCAGCCCTGGTCAAAAGGACCCAGCGGAGATTATACTACCTGGGACTTCTCAGGAAACAACAACGGAATGGGAAACTGCTGGGGACCTTCTACCGCTGCACCAGAGAGAGTATCTTAACTGACTGCACATCTGTGTAGGGTTTGCCAATTGCACAGGGGCAGATAGGACAGCACTCCAGAGGGTTAATGTCATTGCCCAGAAGATCATGGGTTGCCCTCTCCCCTCTTTGGAAGAGCTTTAGAGCTCCCACTGCCTTAAGAAAGTGCAAAACATTCTCAAAGATCCATCTCATCCTGGGCACCTTTTTTTTTGAACTATTACCATCTGGCAGAAGGTACAGGAAAATAAAAACAAGCACAAATAGGTTGAAAAACAGCTTCTATCCCAGGGCAGGAGCTCTGTTGAATTCTGCTGTATGGTGCAATATTAATGCAATATCAGGAGTTTTCAATTCGATGTATAGAATGCCAAAGATGTGTGTTTGTGTTTATTTTCATGGTCATGATGTGCACTGAAGGTGGTATTTAATTTTGTTGTATGAGGTGCAGTGACAATAAACTAAACCTATGACCTATGGTCACGTGATCAAAATCTGGCTCCTTGGCAGAAGAATCAAAATTTGGATCTCGGCCACCGGCTCCTACTTATGACGGTCACACAGTCCCGGGAGGTGTCACGTGATCCCCCTTTTGGGACCTTCTGACAAGCAAACTCAAGGGGGGAGCCAGATTCGGTTAACGACCGAGCTATCAACTGCGGAGATTCACTTACCCACCGAGGCAAGGAAGGTCGTAAAACGGGACAAAACTCACAGAACAAATGTCACTTAACAACCTAAATTTTGGGCTCAGTTGTTGTCGTAAGCCGAGGACTCCCTATATCTCTCCAGAGGCAAAGCCAGCTGTGAGAAAAATCTGTATTTTAGTCGTGTGGCTTTTGAACCCCCTTTTTTTTGTGTGGTGGGGGGGTGTCCCTCTTTCTCTCTCTCCACAGAATCTGAGGCAGCTGCAGCGAAAAGTGGAGGAACAAGAGGAGGCTTTGCTGGGCCGGACACAGGTGGTCGACCTGCTGCAGCAGGAACTGAATGTCATTCAGGGGGAAAAACAGGTATCGCCCCGGGGTTTCCCCAACCCCCACCCCCCAAAAAAATCGCATTTTATTGCATGCCGGAGCTGCCCTGGAGTCGCTCTCGGTTTGCAAAATAATAATAATAATAATAATGCACGCATCCAGGGGCAAAACTCGTCCCTGGCTTTTAAATAAAACACATCAACATTTTGATATTGACCTGCGGTCAGGCGGAAAAAAACGAACGACCATTGAAGACTTTGTTTTAAAAACAGGACGTTTGTTCAGAGTATCGTAGCGTAAATTCAGCGCTAGAAAAGTAAACACAGATGGCTGAGGCTTCCTTTAACTTCTTTATCAACACAAGAAGTAAATTTTACAATACCAGTGGTAGATTTCTCCAGCACGGAGCAAACTCAAACAGAAGCAGATACGTTGCAGGTTCAGAGTGCAGCTCTACTTTTCAGCAAGCAAGTTAGTTTCTCTCTCACAGGACACAGGTAAACCATGTCCAGATTTTCTCTTTTAAGTTTCAGCCTTCAACTCAGCTCTCATTGGCTGACCTCGTGACTAAGCTCGATTCCAGTTCATGAATATACTCTGACAAAGCCTCCGCTGGACTTTTGGCTGAAAGAAAAAAGAAAGAAACTGGGGATTTAGGGATTTGAGGATTACAAAGGGTTAGAGAGGAAAGAGGTAGCAATTCCTTGATGCGAGGAAGAGCCAACGGTCTACGTTTTCTTCCTCTTTTTTTTTTAAAAAAATCCTTTTTCTGATTTTTATATTCGTTTTTGTTTTTTAAAAAAAAACTTTTATTGTCTCGTGAAATATCTTTTTAAGAAAGCTCTTTACATTAGAGGCATAGTTTTCTGGATTTGATATTTCCACCCTGGGCCATCTTGGCTGCGTTCTGGCCATGTCAGGATGTGCAGTAAACCACCATCCATCCAGCAACGTGGCTATTGCAACTTCTATGCACAAAGCTCCCTTCTTCTATCCCCAGAATACCCCACGCGGGCTCCTGAGAACAAGAAGGGGAAATTGTTGTGGCCCTCCAGCGGCCAGCGGAGCTGGTGGCAGAGTCGGACACTGAGGAGGTTGGGGAGGAACCTGGGCCAGTCCTGGAGTCTGGGGAAGGCTCTGATGAGTGCTCTGTGTTGGAGGCAGAGATGGGGACCAGGGCCGTCCGACAGTTATCAGCTGCCTTCGGAGTCGGACATCAGTGGGGAAGAAGAACAGCTGGAGCCTGTTCCCAGTGTGCGCATGCACAGAGCTGCCAGAAGAAGGGTCTGGGGGAGGCTCGGATGAGGGCTCTGTGTCGGAGGCAGAGATGGGGACCAGGGCCGTCCGGCAGTTATCAGCTGCCTTTGGAGTTGGAGATCAGTGGGGCAGAAGAACAGCTGGAGCCTGTTCCCAGTGTGCGCATGCACAGAGCTGCCAGAAGAAGAGCACAGTTAAGGGAACAAGGGAGTAAGGGTACAGGTGGACAGTGAATGGCCCCTCCCATAGGGAATAAAAGGGGAGTGGAGGTTGCAGGAGACATTTAGTTCGTTTAATTAGTATGAAGATCTGTTCCTGCATTCTTGCCAAGTCATTGGTTTGGAAGGTATCAGCCTGATAAAGGTCTGTCATGGTGAAATCTCTTGAAAGACCGGTTGCTGGGACTTTGCTGGACAGGAATTCCCTTTAACCTAAATAAAAGGGGTTTTATCGGGACGAGGAGTCGGCTTCATGATCTTGGGAAGCTTAGGTGAAAACAAAAATGACGTCAGCCTGACCCCCCCCCCCAAGTCCTCTGCTGTCCATTTTTGTTGTCTTGTCCTTAGGGAAGATGGTGTCCTCCATCTTGGGCTGAGCTCCACGCTTCCGTCTTTCTCTCCCCTAGAATCTCCTGGAGAAGTTACGAGAGGCAGAGGCGGAGCTGGAGACCTCCAGAACTGCCCTGGCTTCTGCCCAGGAGGAATCCCGCAACCTGGTCAAGAGCCTGGAGCGGGAGCTGGCCGAGCAGAAGACGGCTTTCGAGCGGAGCCAGGAGGAAGTTGAAGAGATGCGCCGAGAGCTGGCGCGGGCGAAGGCGGCCCAGGCCGAGTGGGATCAGGAGAGGCGGGCTGAGGTGGCCAGGCACGCTCTGGAGGTGGACGAGAAGAACCAGGAGATGGTTGAGCTTCAAAAGGCAGAGCAGGACCTCCGCGCCAGTTACGAGGCCGTCCAAGCGGAGAACGCCCGGCTGTGGCAGAAGGTGGAGGCGCCAGCGGAGAGCTCGCCTGACGATGCGCCTGCCACGCCAGGTCAGAGAAACCGCCTGTCAGGAGGCAGCGGCGTCCTCCAGAAGGAACAGAAGTATCAACAGGAGAGAATCCTTTGTGGCTCCGGGTTGAGATGAGGGGCCTCTGGGCTGGGTGGCTTTCTTGCAGACGTTTCCTGACCCAACTAGGGGACATTGTCAGTGCTAGAAGGGAGTGGGGATTGTGGAGAGGAGGAGGAGGAAGAGG